GTTCTGTCTCCACCTGTTTGACTTTGGCCACGTCTCTGATGAAGGACTCGTCGTCCAGGAAGTGCAGGAGGTTCTTGAGCTGGGACAGGTCTGTGAGGAAGTCCTCTCCAATCCTCTGCAGAGAGAACAGAACCGTCTTAGCTACACGGACTGGAACCGAGGACTCGTCCCCCGCTGAGGACACACCTCAGCGATGATGTCAGCCAGGCCCGGGTTGCACAGGAGCAGCCAACGCCGCGGAGTGATGCCGTTAGTTTTGTTCTGGAACTTCTCAGGATCCACCTGGTGGAAGTCTCTGAACCTGCAGGAGAAGGAGGACGTTCTAGAGTGTCCAGCAGGGACAACGTCTCAAAGCGTCTTTGGGGAGGACTCACACGCTGGTCTTCACGATGTCCGTGTGGATCTGAGCCACTCCGTTGACGGCGTGGGATCCCACCACGCACAGGTGAGCCATGTTGATCCTCTTCGGGTCTCCTTCCTCGATCAGAGACATCCGCCGCAGACGCTCCACGTCTCCAGGGAACATGGCCGCGATCAGCTGTGGGACACAGGGTCATTAGGGACAGGGGACGCTCTGGAGCCGCTGCAGAGGGCCCCGGGGCCTTACGTCCAGGTGTCTCCGGTTGATCTCGTAGATGATGAGCAGATGGCGAGGCAGCAGCCGCTCGAACATCTGGACCGGCCAGCGCTCCAAGGCCTCAGGCAGAACCGTGTGGTTGGTGTAGGCGCAGGTCCGACGCGTGATGTCCCAGGCCTGGACGGACAGAGACACTCTTAGTCAGTCCTTAGACGTCCTTCAAACCCTGAGACGGTTCCAGACCTCTGACCTTGTCCCAGTCCAGCTTCTCTATGTCCACCAGGATCCTCATCAGCTCCGGGATGGCCAGAGCCGGGTGGGTGTCGTTCAGCTGGATCGCCACCTGGAGGGACGGACGGAAAGACGCGCTTAGCTTCCCGAAGACGCAAGGAAGCTTCCAAGAACTCCTCACCTTTTCAGGAAACGTGTCAAAGGAAGTTCGGACCGGATCCCTGCAGCCGAACTTGGAGGACTTGAACCTGCGGATGATGTCCTGCAGGGTGGCGGCGACCACGAAGTACTCCTGCTTCAGGCGCAGCTCCTTTCCCTCAAAGAACTGAGCAGAAAAAGACGGATCAGAACCGAGCGGTTCTACGGTTCAGCCCGGACGAGTCGGACTCACGTTGTCGTTGGGGTACAGGACTCTGGAGATGTTCTCAGCCAGGTTCCTGTCCAGGACGGCCTGGATGTAATCGCCAACATTAACTGGGAGGCAGACAGAAGCAGAAGATCAGGACCAGAACCAGAACCGGACCTGCAGGAAACGTATGGAACCAATTCTACAGGTTGTGGGTTGAGCTTCTTCTTCTGTGGTTAAATTAGAGCGAGGACTTAAAGGAACCAGGAGATGGATTCGGTTCCGCCTCTCTGGGCTCAGTTTGGATCCGTCTACGTCCAACAGACGCCGCTACGGGAGGAGCAGCTTCCAGTTCTAACGGCGACCAGAACCTCAGATTCTGACCTCAGAATCTGAGGACCTCAGATTGGCGACAGTTCCTCTGAGCAAACCGGATCTATCAGAGTTCTGCCAGTGGAGATCGGATCTAGACTCACAGTTCTGCAGGCTGAAGTCATTGGGAGCCTTGGCCGACCACAGCCTCATGGTGTTCACCGTGTTGTTATGGTAACCAGGAACCGGAGTGTCGTAGGGCATCGCCAGCACCACCTACAGGCAAACACAGGTCAGCGTTTGGAACGCCGACCGGATCAGAACCAGGACCTCCCAACCTGAGTGTCGGTCCACTTCATCCGGTTCTCCACGTTCTCCACTCGGCCGTAGAAATGAACCGGCAGCATGTACTCCGGCCGCGCCTTCTCCCAAGGGTTCCCGTACCGCAGCCAATCGTCTGCCTCCTCTACCTGCAGGGGGCGGAGCTTCATTTCAGCACATCAGTAGAACTGGGTCAGAATTGTGGACCTGCAGCAGATGACCCCACCTGCCAGCCATCACGGATCTTCTGGTTGAAAATGCCAAACTCGTAGCGGATCCCGTAACCGTAGGCGGCGAGGCCGAGGGTCGCCATGGAGTCCAGGAAACACGCTGCACACAGGAAGAAGAAACAGGAAGTGGTCGTCGCTAACACATGAAGGAGCTAGCTGGCTGGTCTGGGTTTTACCCGCCAGTCTTCCCAGTCCGCCGTTTCCCAGTCCGGCATCCTCCTCGATCTCCTCCAGCTCCTCGATGTCCAGGCCCAGCTGCAGACATCAGAACCGGGTCAGAGGAACAGAAACGGACCCGCTTCCGCCGCAATGCAACGGGTCAGAAGCGCTACCTGGTACAGAGCTTCGTCGCAGGCGTTCTGCAGGCCCAGGTTGATCATGGTGTTCTGCAGAGCCCGACCCATGTAGAACTCCAGGGACAGGTAGTAGACCCTCTGTGGACAGAAGACAAACAGGAGGGTCAGGAGGGACCTGGAGGACTCGGTGCTCCCAGTCTGACCAGCAGAACACGGTGTGACCCAAAACAGCCTGGATCAGAACCAACCAGACTGGATCCAGAAACACGATGAGGTCACACCTCATCTCAGCTTCCTGTTTCCTGTCTGACGTCACTGAAAACGATACAATAGAACCCCCCCACAAGTCTATTCTATTCAGTGTATTTCTATAGCTCCAATTCACATCATATCATCTCAGGTCACTTTCCAGTTCACCAGATCATCCAGTCAGATTGATTCAAAGTTTTCTATCTAAGGAAAACCAGCTGATTGCATCGACCCATTGACTCTTTAGCAATCCCT